TTTTTATATATCACCAAAAGAAAGCTCTATCTGTCCCCAAAAATTTGTAACATAAATTGCAAGGCTATAGTTCTGTCATGCTGACTGGTGACATTTTTGACTGGTGAGACACCATGACATTTTTCAAGCCCTGTTTATGGTAATATTGTTAAAGTTGTTCTTGTCTTGTAACTTTATTCTGTATAAAACATGTAACAGTCTCATTGATAAGATTATTTAAGAGGATGTGTTTAGGGGTGGAGTTAAGGCTGCGGGAGGGTAGGGGTTAGGTGGGCAACAGGTGGCGAGTAACTGTTATGGCCTGGCCAGTAGCTCAGGACTTGAAATTTTGACCCCTGGTCTAACCTATTAACCCCTTCATGACTGAGGCCCTTTTTTCCATTTTTGCACCCATGTTATATTCCACATTTTAGGCCTGAAAATGACGTAAAACCCCCCAACATTATATATTTTCTGAACTGCTTTACAACATATTTGCTGAGATCTCGAACATATAATCTAGCAGCTAAGATTGAATAAGATGGACATTTCCTTAAACATATGGAGAGCAAAATGAATTTCACTGTCATCCTCAAACCCACTCACCCTCTAATACAATGGTGAGTACTTTTTTTTTTTTTGGGCTGTACTTGCCCCCATTTCTCACTGATGACATCCCTTCAGTCTGCCCCGCAGATGCAGGCTGCTGGAAAGTTAAGTATGGATGATCTTTTACAACAGTGGTTCTCAACCTTTCTAGGGCCGGGACCCCTTGGTAACATTTGCCAAGTTGTGGTGACCCCCAATGGTAAAATTTAGGGATGACGTGGCTGCTGCAGCGACATCTGGTGGCGTGGCAGGAGAACTGACACTGCTGCGCTAGGAGAGGGCTGAGGAGGACACACAGCGACCCACAGTTTGAGAACCACTGTTTTACAGGCTAGGCTTTCTTTCCAAGTGGTGACGGGGTCACTATAAAACAAGCTTTTTATGCCCTCTTTAGCTGCATGCCTGAGGGCCCAGTTACACCATATCCAGTGCGTTCTGGCACGGTTTGAGCCTGGAAACACGCTGGATCGCATAAATCAAGCGGGGCCCTATTCTGGGGTGGAGGGGGCATGGCAGTGCCATTGACAATGGCACCGCAGACACGCTCCCCGTCCGCAGTGCGATTACCTGCGATGGGGAAAAATAGTCAACCTGAACGGAAGGCATTCCTGTACCTCTCATTCCAGTGCGGGCGACCACACTACTGGGGGGGGGGACATGTCTGTGGTGCCTTTGACATGAATGGCACCGCCATGCTCCCTCCCCAAAAACAGAGCTGCATCAAATCGTATTTTATATTTTAAAGAAGAACTCCGAGCAAAAGGTATTAACTGCTAGGGTTATTAGTAGCTTTGACCAGAATTCTTCTTTAATTTAGACAATTGATGTAACGGTACACTTCGTTGTCAGTCATTTACACTTTTTATTGTCTACAAATGTTTCCTATATTATCGTAGCAATATATCGGCTACCAAATATTCAATTTTTATTTGGAAAGGTAGAAGCTGATTGTTTTAATTTCAGGAACTTAGGGTTTGATTTACTAAAGGCTTTGATACTCTTCACTCAGTAAATTGTAGCAGTGTTCATTTTAAGTATCCATTCATGTGCTGTTGAAAATATTGGAATTTGCTTTTCTCACAGAATTTTCACTCCATTTATTAAGTGAATATTATCTACTCCGTGTGTGTGTGTGTATATTCAGTGAAGAGGTGCAAAGGGGTAACAAAGTGCTCCGTGCAGTGACCGTTAGTAAACAACATTCGTCAATATAAGCGAGATCAGTAGAATATGCATTTAATTGGCAAATATGGGTTACTACCATTTTCTGTCTTAATGAATAAGAGTGAGAAAACAAATGTTCAAATTCCTTTTCTAACAGGCATATTGTGTTCTCTTGCAGGGTCATTAATACAATGCTGGTAACGTGTGCAGTTTGCTGCTATTTGTTGTAAGTATAAGCACAACTCTATTATGTGTCAATATGAACTGACCTTGCTGTCTTTTCCCTGTGATCATATTGATATACACTCCGTCTTCTCATGTCATTTGTAATCCTGCTTATTTAGAATATTTAGAAATGATGTACGGTTATGCCTTGGGGTGGACACATTTTTAATATGGAATTTAGTAACCAGCAAGATTTCTTTTTAGAAGCCAGCTCCATTGACCTCACACATCTTGCTGCTATGGACAGCTCTACATTGGCCCTTTATCCACTTTCTAATGAGCCTGACGTGGTATTTCCTTTAAGACATTCAACATGCTGTAATAGATCCACAATGTAAATTTCATGCTGTCTTCTGACCAGCACCCAGCATATAATAGGCGTCCCCTTTTTAAGTTCAGGTTATCTTCTGCTAAATTCTTGCTTTGTCTTACAAGTCCTTGTCTGAAGCCATAACAACATGTTTTCTGTTCATCAAAGCCTGTTGTGTGACTTTTGTGTTCTTATTTATACTGTACACAGACTTGGGTTGGTGACGTCAACTAAACTGTGCTTTTTCATGCAGATTTGTGTATTTCTGTGCCACGGTCAGTTTCCTGATTCCACTAAAGCTTAAATAAGATTTTATCTTAATGTTTTTCTATTTCATTGATCACATTCATGTGTTTCTTTTAGCCCTTCACACCTAAGAATTTTGCTGCAAGTTTCCTGAAGTGTGACAACTCTTAACATAAGGAATGTGGTTATTTTTTTAGTGGTGCCTGTTCATACCCAAGTGTTGTGTGGTGGAAAAAGTACTTGAGAGTACAAACATTGCATTTTTTTTGTGCATATAAGGCATCGCAACACACTGCAAAGCACAGAATTAAATATATATATTTTTTTTTAAAGTGAGCTTTTCAATGTGTGTTCTAATGCATTGCAGCATGTGCTCACACCAGCACATGTGTTATGCGCATAACGTGCGGTATGAATGAGCCCTAATAATAGAAACAAAATTTTAAAGAAAAAAAAGCAGCAGCAAATATTGTCTAAGGGGAGGCCGATGTTGAGGGCTGCTTATGATTCACGGTTTAACCACTTTCTGTCTGGAGCAGTTTCTTAATTTTTGCGCACACATAACTCAATTTTTTGACTAGAAAACCTCTTGACCCCCCAAACAATGATATATTTTCTGAAAGCAGAGGCCTTGTAGAATACAAAAAAATGCTTGTTGCAATTTTTAATCCCTCAGTGTTTGTCAAACCAATATTTTTAGGATAAAATACACTAAAATAAAATGTAATGCCCAATTTCTTTTTTGTAAAATATAAAAGATGGGATTGTGTTGGGTAAATAGATACCAATCATGTCAAGTATTAAAATTACATGCGCCCATGAAATTGGCTAACAAGCCCCCTGTGTTATAGGGAAGAGGATGTGACAGGTCCTCTTTATATAGACATCAGGGTCTATTAGACCCCTAATATCACCTATAGACCCCCAAAGAAGATGAAGCACACTGATGTAATGCACATTGCTTCAGCTTTCAGTGAACGGAGGGAAGATCAGCCTAGTGTGCAGATCTCCCTCTAGTCCATCTGCAAAGACCCGCCGTACCAGTCTTGGGTCTGCACAGAGGACAGCAGATCCTGGGATATCTAGTGTCGGCGGCAGAAGGGTGGAATTGCACTCTTTGCCACCATAGTAGCAATCGGGCAGTCCTGCAGCATTTAAAAAGGTTTAAATAGGAACACTTTAAAAAAAAAAAGTGTCGGTGTAGCTTTAACTAGAAGTATATGCAGATAAAATGTTACCCATTCATCTGCTGTGGATGAATCAGAGAAATTACATTAAAGCAACAATAATGTTACTTTTTATTGACACTGCAGTCACTGCAAGAGCTGCTTCTGTGAAACCGAGTAAGTCCAGCTGTCAGTTTGATTTTGCTATTCATGGTCTGTTTGCGGTCAGGGAGCTGTGGAGCGGAAGAGGAACAGGACGTTCAGTGTATGTCCTTTTTAGAGAGAGATTTTTAGGGTGTATACCCTCAGTCCACAATCGGTCAGTAGAACCTCATTACATGAATATGCGATAGCTTCTAGCAATCTGGGAACCTGGATCCCATCCTAACCCATTAGATGCTCAGGTTTGTGTTATGACAGCTGATCTAGTTCATAATGAACTCAAACAAGGTCTTGTCAGGCAGCTTTACACTATTAATATGCTGATAACTAGTCCTTGTAATTTTCAATGACTGTTTGTTGTGCTTAATGTAAGAAAATAGCTTGTTGAGAATATTACAAACCAACTATATAGAGGAGGAAAAGACACAGAAGAAAAAGCCCTAGTCTAAGAGCTTGGAGATGTAATATTTATTAGGTTTATAATGGAGAAGACAGTGGCTATGGCTAGTAAGCCACTAGGGTAGAGAAGGTGGATAGGCAGTTTTAAAAAGGTGACTGAGGTTCTGCTTAAAGGAGAACTATGAGGGGAGTGATTTTTCACTCAACCACATCGTTCGAGCCGACCTGTGACAATGAGACTGTCACACGTTGGCTCAATAGATCGGGAAGTGAGCGAACACAACCCGTCGCTCGCACACTTCTCGATTCTGTCCCTGCAGAGAGACCTGACTGTCACTTACGGCTCCGTGCAGGGATCCCCTCCCCGCTCCAGTGCTGACTGGAGGAATGGACGGGGGAGGTGAAAAGCTGGCTCTGCCTCCTAGATGGGCAGAGCCAGCTGTCAATCACACAGCTGGTGGATCTCGACAGTAATGTCGGTATCCGTCCCGGCTGCGGACGTCTCAGTTTACCGCAAGCTGTAGTCATGGGAGGTCGCTTGTTTATGTCCTCCCGTGAGCACAACTCTGGGGAAAAACACTTGCCCCATAGTTCTCTTTTAAATATTTTAGGTGTGGCCTTGCACCAGTTCAGATTATAAGCAAGCAGAATAAGCCTACAGAGGATATGGAGATTTTGGTTTTGAAAATTTGTGGATATCAGCAATTTGGCTAATTTACGGGTTTTTGAATTTGAGGATGCAGCATAATAACATGCATTTTATTCCCAAATTAGAAGCCAGTGATGTGCTGTCATTTGACAGTTAAAGAGGCTTGGTGGAATGGATAGAAAAGTTTTGCGGAACTATTTAAGATAGACTGTAGAGGTAAAAGACTATGTAGGAGACAAGCTAGGGAGGATATTGCCATGGTCAAATTAAAGGAGAACTATGGGGTTAGGACTTTTCCCCATAGTTCTCCTAAGGGTCACGGGAGAACACAAACTAGCGTCCTCCCGTCACCCAAAGCTCAGTATACCGCGAGCTGCAGTTAAATGTTCTATAATGAACATTTACCACACCGACCAACATACAGTGGGGGGAATTTATCAAAACTGGAGCAGACAGAATATGGAGCAGTTGCCCATGGTAACCAATCAGCATCTCCCCACAATTCGTTCACTTAAGCTTTAAAAATTAAACTTAGAAGCCAATTGGTTGCCATGCACAGCTGCTTCAGTTTTGATAAACTCCCCTCAGTGTGCGCAGAGCAGGCAGTGGTATTACCCAAAGCTCAGTATACTGCGAGCTGCAGCTCGCAGTATACTGAGACGCTGCTTATCCGGAGGCAGAGCCAGCTGTGTCCGCCCCCTCCCCCTTCCGTTTCGCCAGTCAGAGATGGAGGATGGGACGGTGGGGGGGGGCTAGTCCCTGCAGGGAGCCGTGAGTGACGGTCACGGCTCTCTGCTGGGATAGATCAAGAAGTGAGCAAGCGCCGGTATGTGTTCGCTCACTTCCCGATCTACCGAGCCGACCTGTGACAGTTTCATTGTCACAGGTCAGCTCAGATTGTGGCTGAGTAAGAAATTACTCGCCTCATAATTCTCCTTTTAAGGTCTCACTATTCATACAAATGACTTAAAGCCACTTTGTGTTAGGTGGATGTTGGCATCTTCTGACTACATTAGTTTTGAGATGCTTTGTCAAGTGATGGTGCAGTTATACAGGAGTTTTTTGTTGAGAACTAAACTCTGTGGAACCCAGAAACAGTTGCAGGAAACCATGAGATGATAAAGGGTATAGAGCAAGTTAAATGTGAAAATATGGTTAGTCTGTTATAAACAAGGAGTTCAGTTAGCTTTGATGTGTTGTGTGTTTTTGTTGTTTTTATAGTAGATAGAAGAATGTCCGACTGCTTCATTTAAATGCTGAGACAAAGATAGCTGTGAAGAATGGAGAGGTTGAATAGTTTAGTAAGTGCAGAGACCAGAGTAGACAATTATCAAAAATAGTTCAGAGGGGTAAGTCAAGCAGCTTTATAGGGGGAGATGATGGGAAAGAGGTCTGCAAATGGTTAGTGATATTAAAGTTAAAAGCTTTTTAAGCTATTTTAAGTGCTGATTAAATAATTTACAATGTATGCTGCTTCTTGAGGTTTAAACGTTTTAGCTTCCTACAGAATCCGCTGATCCCCTGAACACTGGCCCTGATATCCTTTCTTAGGGTGGCTCCTTTCCCTTGCATGTTCCTATCGCTCTACCCTTGTGTGTGCCAGTAAGGTATGCGTGTCTCCACAAACACGCAGGGCAAGCCACTACTCTGCCCCCTGCTCCCCACTCCGCCTTCCTTCTCCCTCTTCCCTTCTCCCAGCTAGAAGATGTAGTGTCACTTTTTTCTTAACTAGGTCCTGGACAGTGAGAGCAGTATTTGACACTTCCTCAATTTAGTTCCATGTTTCCTAGATATGGTGAAGCGTGGAAAGTTTCTTTAGCTAAGCTGTGCTGAGCCCAGAGTTGAGTTATTGACATTTTGACCTCTAATCAAGAAGATTCCTTTATCCAGTTGCATTCTTCTGAAGGGAGCTAGTTCCCAGTAGTGCTAAGGCTGAGGATTGGTAGAATAAACACAGCATAATTTTTTAGGAGCAGCCTTACTCTGATCAAAGTTGCATTGTACTAGGAGGCGAGGGAAGCAAGAGATGCCACAAGACTTGACACTGTGGAAGTCTTTGTGTACATGAGCAGGTCCTAGAGCTGGTGACAAAGATGCTATAGGTTTAAAGGTTGTGTTCAAAACCATTTGCAATGGCCATAGACATTGGAGAGCAGTCATGTATGCAGGCATGTTACATACATGCTAAATGTTTTAGCTATGGATAGGGGAGTGAAATCTGCAATTTAAATTAATACCTTAGCTTATCAAGGGGAAAATGGCAATAAACATTTTCACAAGGTCATTTTACTACTTCCCCCAGACCTACTGTAGACCTGTGGGTATATACCACTGCCCGTAGATGTGAGAATAGAGATTGGGTGTGTATCCTCTAATTTTTGGTTATTTTCCCATGCAAAGGTAAAATATATTACTGGAGTTATGAGTGAAAGTCGCCTAGGATTACTTTGAGTAGTGCAGAAGATAGAATGCATAGAAGCCAGGAAGCAAATTTGTCCATGATTTGGGAGGCTTGACCAGGTAGCCATGAGGCGGCATCAACCAGAAGTCTCCATGGGATTCAAAAGGGTGTGCTTGGTGGGGGTCTCTATGCCCTTTACGTGCCCTACCACTTGCTGGGTATGACCGTGAGCGGAGTGTTAGGGCTCCATGCATAGTTCTACAGAAGTTAAGCTATTCATTGCTACATGCTACCCTAAATGTAGCATTCAACTTTTGAGCAACGGCATCCTGTTTACATGAATTAAATGTTCTAGTGGACCTAGTGAGGCAGAGCATTGGGTGACAACAGTGGATACTTTGTTTCTGCATATAGGACTCCTAAATAGGGATGAGCCGAACACCCCCCTGTTTGGTTCGTATTCGAACTGCCGAAATGTTCGAATACGAACTCGAACTCAATGCAAGTGTATGGGGGTCGAACGTTTGACCCCCATACAGTTGCCTGTGCATGTAATAAATACAGTGTACTGGCCCCCTTACCTCCGCTGCTGTCCCGGCCTCCGGTCCCCTGGTCCGTCCACTCGCTGTCCCGGCCTCCGGTCCCCTGGTCCGTCTGCTCGCTGTCCCGGCGGCTTCTCTCCTTCAGTCCGGCCGCTGCTCCTCTGCCCCGCCCCCCTGCCTCCACTTCATCTGCAGGCTGGGAGCCATACCCAGCCTACTATTGGATATTGTAAAATGCAATAGCCAATAGCAAGCTGGCTATTGCACCCGCCTGCTGTCAATCAGCATGGGGGGACCTGATAGAGAACTTTCTCCTTCAGGCCCCTCCTCTGCTGAGCCCTGGTTGGGCAAAGTCTTGCACCTGACCTGTAGTCAGGTGCAAGACTTTGCCCAATCAGAGCTTCAGTGGGCATTTTGTATTATGTAATGTACGCGGTCGAACAGACCGCGAACATCCCATAAAGTTCGGCGCTCGAACTGCCGATGTTCAATTCGAACTCATTTTCGAATCGAACACTCGACCCATCCTTACTCCTAAAGGCTTAGAGAAAGGGAATAATAAAGCCGGTAAAATCAACTGAATGCATGTATTCTAAAGAAGGAAATCTTAGTATGCGCATGTGGCTGTTATTTCACGTTTTGTTCATTTGGTCATGTTATTTGCTCAAGTACTGTACTCGGTGTATTGGCCTTTACACCATCAAGCATTTCTTGGTGTGAGCACCAGTGAAATGTGTTAATCGCAAGGTACTATGCAACACACCTACCGTGTATTACACACACCTACCAGTGCAGCCGGTGCATTGCCATTCATTTGGATGGCACCCCAATGCACTTCCCAGGGACAATACGTTGGACTATGCTGCAATGTGTGGTGCCACACTGTAATTGCACTGTCTTGGTGTGAACAGGCCCTAACCTGAAAACTGCAATCTTATTACTTTTTACAAATGTATTATCAAATAAAGGCCATGGAAGGTACTCATTTTCTCTAAGTCTTTCTTTCGTAATGCTTTTTCTGATCTAACACTGTGGGGGGGCTGTTTGATAAAAATAAAACTATGGTGGAATATAATATAGTTCAGTTTTCAGTTACTATATAAAATCTCTTGTTCATTCTGATAACGTTAGCCATTGTGCAGCACAGGGACAGCAGTACAGACACATTCATCCTACGCATATTGAAGGAGAAACTTATCAATTGCAGTGTGTGAGTCACATCTAGCAGTTCATTTTAGAGCCGCTCGTATTGTTCAGAAGCTTCTCTGTTTACCCTTCAACGAACACAAGCCAATATATGCTTTAAAATAAGAATACGCCATCTTTCCTTGGAGCTAGCTAAAGCATGGAATTCATCTGAAGTAGCTGCTGGAATTTCTGGGGCAGCATTACATAACCTTGTACTTTCCAGCAGATCTGCAATCTCTTCCTGGCGTGCTGTTTTTCCCCTAAACCCTGCAATGCAACAAAAACAAGACTGGAGAATATGCTGTGTACAAGCCTCCTGAGAAAGCAATGCCTTTTCAGTCTCTGCTGTCACCGACACTAACATTTATTAAGAATTTAGGGCAACGTTTTTTGTATTTATTTTTTCTATGAATAAATTGCAGATCACTTGTGATGTGTATGTATATACGGGAGAGCAGAAATGTTTGTTTTTAAGGGGTTTAAGGCATCTTTAAATATAGCAAATGCTTTTCTAATTTAGGGAGGCCAACACTGTGCCACCAATAGTAACAGCAGATGGTAAGCTTTATGGCTACAGGTCAGCAGGCAAATGCTATGGCCTAAAACTAGAAAATGGTGCAGATTCTAATTTATCCAGAACATGGTATAGCTAGTAGTAGTTATTCACATTCAGCTGGACTTGATCTTCAAGTGATAATTTGGCACTATGCACCATATTGCCAGTTATGGTGCTTCTGATTTGTCCCTAGTACCAGTAGCACAAAAGACTGTATTCCAGTGGAAACATATTGCGAGGCACTGCTTCACATTAAACTTTGGCAAACGTAGGCTAATGTAACTCTTACATAATGGGGGGATAAAAACTGCCAACTCACCAATTCCATGACCGTTATGAAAGCCCATTGCAGAGCCAGTGGTAGGTGACTTTGTCGTACTGCTTGACTTGGAGACAGTCTGTCACTGGTGGTAATGGATGGCAAACATCTGCCTTTTCTAAGATCAAGCCCTTAGATGTGTCTGCAGATACCTGAAGCAACCTAACGTACCTTCCCTTGGCTGCTCAACATCTGGCTTTTCTTTACAGGTAAAGCTCAGACACCTCCGGGTAGTGTAGGGATTTGCCACACCTACACTACCCGGAGGTAGTCTAGGAGCACACACACATATTCACATTCCTATTGACCCATTGAAATCAGGCCTATAGGAATGTGCAGGAAGTAGAAAGAGAATGGGCAAATACCAGCATTATCACGAAGTGGGAAGCCTGAGATTTGGCTGTGACCAGAAGGTTTGAGGGGCTGGTACAGAAAATTTCTAGGTGCCTATACTTAATACCTGCAGCAGTTTTTCCCCTTCTCAGTTGGCATTTCCTTAAAATCTGTTATAAGTTCAGATTTGTAAAATTAACTGGATAGGCTTTTGACCCTCGCATAGGGTGTGTGTAAGTGCTATAAGCAGAATACAGGGGGGTCCCAGTGTGATGCAATAGCCCCTTAGTGTCTTGTGCAGATCTCCACCTCTCTAAATATCAGCCAGTGGTAAACCTACACTGCATCCCACATTGCAATACTGGATTTTCTTTTTGAAAACCCAGAATCTCCTGGGACAAGCTAGTGCCCTAGTGAGGGTGATGGGGTTAGGTGACATCTGTAAAGGATTGGTTTTAACCGAAACCTGTACTGAGACATATGGGGCCTGTCATTGGTAACCTACTCTATAAACTCTAGTTGCTTGGCTGTCTCTGGGATTAATTTTTTGTTGAGGCACTAAAATCCCGATCTACATGTGTTACAGTTGTGCGTCAGATAGCATTTAAGCCATTGGATCAGTGTTGGAATTAATCTACCATTTTGAAAAGGAGAGGCAAGTAGTGACAACCTTCACAGTACTTCAATGCAGGATTCCCTTGAACATGTCAGTTTAAAGGAATGGAGATAAGTGTCATGCAAAATAAGAGGACTTTTAATGGTCTCTCTGGTAGCCATCTAGCCTACCTTCCAGCACTGTAGCCCCTGTCAATGTCTTCAGCCTTCTGATACTTCTGTGAGTGTCCAATGCCTGTGTTCCCTGCCTCACATTGTAGGGAATTTATCAGAACTGGAGCAGACGAAATCTGAAGCAGTTGCCCAAGACAATCACTTATTTTAGTGGCTTAACTTTGGAAACATTTTATATTTAAAGTATTTTATTCCCCATTTATTATAATTGTTCATGACATTTGTTTAGTACTCTTACAGATTAATTCATGTGACTGGATAGTAATAGATGTAGGTGGGCAGCAGCGTTAATTTTCTGTTTATTTGCGGTTGTCACCTTTTTTATATCTTTGTTTTCATGTGTAAAAGCTACATGCTAGTAAAGTTGGATTTCATTTTGTATCTAATATGTTATTTTTCTATTGCATACAGCTGGCTCATTGCTATATTGGCTCAGTTGAATCCTTTGTTTGGACCACAGCTGAATTCAGAAGTCATTGCTTACTTGAAAAACCATTGGCCTTAAATATGTTCTCCAATCCAGGTAAAAAAAAAAAAAACAATAGAAAGGAATCTATTGTCTCTATTAAACTGGAAGCCTGTATCTAGCTATGTAGTTTACATATCCACCTACAATTAATGTTAGGTATGTTTTGCATATTTATTTATAAGTGTTCCATAAGATGGTCCTAACTTTTATTTTTAGATTGTAAGCCCTCTCAGGCAGGGCCCTCCTTACCATCTTGTCTCGAATTGTAATGTGATTGTAATGTCTTCCTTATATTGTAAAGCAATGCGCAAACTGTTGGCGCTATATAAATCCTATATAATAATAATATTATGACCATAGCCAGTTTTAACCATCCAATCCTAATCTGCCTAAATCAGCAGATGAGGGTTCTGAACCAACTAAGGGAAGCTGATTGTGGGCAACTGCTCCAAATTCTGTCTGCTCCATTTTTAATAAATGTTTAAATATTTTTACTGAACTCTTGGAACAATTTTGTATGCATACTTGCATTGGTCCAGCGTGGCCCAATACAGGTATCCATGTATGATCTCCAGAGGGCCGCTGGGGGTGCTAAAAATCACTTAAGTGCTGGTCTCCTCCTGCTGCGGCTCCAGTGGCTTCCCCTTTGCACACTGAGGACAGGGAGTCGCTCATTGGGCACCACTGCAATTTGGAGAACTCCTTGTATTTATTTTCGATTAATACAAGGTGTTTTGTGATTGGACGAGGTGAAGAAGTGCGTAGACATGTGCATTTGGATGAACCTGCAAATCAACGAAAATCGGTTGATTCAGCGGTTTGTCTGAATCTGAAATAACTAATTTAATATATGACCGAATACACTAAAACGATATTCGGGCATACATAAATTCGTTTTCACAACACGCCGGCAGTCATATTGCCCGCTGCGCATGCCCGCCGCCATCTTGGAGGCGGAGCGTGTGACGTCACTGAACGAGCGGCAGCCAGATGGGCCGCCGGCGTGTTCTGCGTATGCGCGCCGCCATTTTGGTACACACCAAGATGGTGGCGCTCGATATGGCCGCCGTTTGTTCTGCAGTTTTAGTGTGCGGTTTCGGATTCAGGGGTTCGTTGCCTCCGAATCCGAAACAACATAAAAATTAGTTTCCTTTGACGAAACTGTTTTTCGTTTTCATTTGTTTTGTTTTTGTTGTGCACATGTCTAGAAGAGGGGCAGATGAGACATTTATTTTTTATATTCTATATGAAAAGTTGCTTTTTAAGCTCTAAAGCAGCGGTTCTCAACCTGTTACCTCAGGACCCACATTTGTCCTTGGTCATTAAGTCGCGACCCAAGTCTCGCCGCACTGGAATGCACGGCATTAGGATACCGTGGTTTCCGGTGCAGGCATACAAACTGTGGGTGGTAGGTGCGTTTGGGTACCATTCAAATGAATGGCATCGCAGCACACCTCCCACACCAGAATGCGCGATATGTGCGCTTGCGTGGTATAGTGGGTTTAATCAAACGGGCCCTCAAAAACACTGACACAATCTCACACACTTAGACATTCTGACACATATCTACACTCAAAAAAAAAAATGTTATTTAATTGTTTTTTAAGGTCCACCCAGTCTCCATACCTTCCGAGAACTGCAGTGGATCTTCAGACTGGAGTCCAGTGTGGGCTGCTGTGCAGTGATGGAGCTCCATCCATATGTGCACGGCTTGTACAGCTCCCTTGGTTTACCATGTAGAAGTGCTGGGAGCCACAATGAGATGTCACCTGGGAGCCACAATGAGATGTCACCAAGGCACCTCCTATAGGACACCTGAGGGAGCTGTAAGCAATGCACATATGGATGGAGCTCCCTTGCGGCCATTATCCCAACCCATCTCAAGCTGACACTCAGAGCTGGGCAGCATATTTTGAATCGAAGCATGGCACGAGAACTGACAATGCTGTGCTAGGGGGAGGCAGAGGAACCTCTCGCCTAGAAAAGTGGAAGGCATGCGGTGACACACACTACATGGGGTCATGACCCACCAGTTGAGAACCAAGGCTCTAAAGGGAGCTCTCTTTTTGACAGTCTCTTTCAAATGTTCTGCTTGTTGAGAACACTTCATATTGGGGAGAATTTACTAAAACTGGAGCAAACTGAATCTAACAGCTGTGCATGGTGACCAATCGCCGTTGATCTTCAGTTTGTTCATTTAAGCTTTGAAAATGAAAGCTGGATTCTGATTAGTTGCTGTGCACGACTGCTCCAGATTTTGTCTGCTCCAGTAAATTGCTTAGTAAATTCCCCTCATTGTTTTCAGTGATTTCTGCCAACTCGGTTTTACACTATGAGTAGGAGCGGTAAAGTAGAACCATAATATAACACTGCTATGCCTTGAGTATGTAATAACCAAATTTGCTGACCCCATGTACATATATTAAAGCTATGTACGGGGATCATTTTATATTCACCGCCAATAACATTTACTTTAAGATCTCTTTTCTTCTATAGACAATAATTCTAAAGAGAATAATTATAATTCTAACAACTTTACAGTATTGGTGAAATGGTGCCAGGACAAAAATGAGATCACCTAGCAATGCCAGCACAAAATGTAAATGCTTCTTGGACACCCGCAGAGCTCATAATCTCATGACAATCTATGTGCAAAAATTGTCTGTTCCTTGCAGTGTCAAGAAATGAGCAGCCTTTCCACTTCCTGCATCCTATTAGTCATCAAGGTTGTCTATTATAGTGCTGGGCTTGTATTAAGGAATCAAAGGCAGGAGGGGACAGGCCAGTTCTTGATACAGCTAAGACACATATTAAAGCTTCTTGGGGTACGAGCCACTGGGATGCTCAAAGAGCTTCTGGGGCCTGTTTAGTAACATTAAAGAACTGCTTATATTTATTTCTGACCTATAATCTCTGCTTTGTTTTACAGGGGAATGAAGCATGGAAGACTTGCCTTAATGTTCTTTCTTCTTCACTAAATTTGCCTTAACCCTTGTATTTAATGACCTGTTACCCATTCCTCACAAGTGACGCAGTGTTTCTTCTCTGATGCTCTGAGTTCCTTCATCTCACTCCAGGGGAGTCATTGCTTATGAACATTTTATATGCAACTGTTTCCTGTCAAGCTTCATTTTGTCACCAGATTGTAGATCTTTTCCTGCACATATTGCAGCAGAGACGGGATGAAGCTTGTATTTTATTTCTTTGATTTGGCCTTTTCTACATCTTTGTAATTGGAGTATTTCCAGTCGGTCCCTCAACACTGGAGATCTTCGATTTGAGAGTGTCCTAATTTATGTGTATTTTTCTTCTAGAATGCATACAAAGTATATGCTGTTAGTGCCTTATCTCTGTAACAGATCAGTTGGTGCCTTTTAGCCAAGCTTTCAGAATCCATATTTTTCTATGAAAGGAAAAACTCTTGAAAACAAGTTCTATATTTTCCACACTACGTGTTCAAATACTGTTCTATTACCCTGTCAGTATGCTGGAGCATTGGAAACATTTCTAAAACATATTTAATAGGCATCCAAAAATGGCATGCAGTGGCTCACAACAACCAATTGGATACCAGTCTACTGTCACCTGGCTAATGTGAGCTGATTTTGGATTGGTTGCTATGGGTTACTGGAACCTGAAGTGTCTTGGACTGTCACGTTATGCTCAATTGAAACTCTGGTATGGTCTAGAATGTAAAAAGTATTTACACTGAAGTATTTGAAGATTTCAAATGAATGCATATTGATACCAAAAAAAAAGCATTTTGAAGCACCTGCTGAATAAAAGTGAGATTTTATCAGTTATAAGTGTGTTGTGTTCTGTCAATGGTTTTGCTGAGAAGTATCTTTATGGTAAACTGGTTATATATGTATACATCTTGCTGAGCAGTTTTTAGAGGTGCACCGAAATGGAAATTGTAAAACCGAAATAAAAAGTCAGGCCGAAACCAATACCAAAATTTTTTTTTTAATTTTTTATAAACTTTTTCACATTTTTTTAATTCATTTTTTATTAAATGTTATTTTTTTACTTTTAGGGGCCTCGGGGAAATATTAGGGGTCTAAACAGACCCCTGATATATCCCTTTTAAAATAGAAAAAGAGATTGAGAACACAGAGTCCTCTATCTCTCTTTTTCTTGTCCCCTGTTATCAATGAACAGGAATCCTCTGAGTGTTCCTGTTCATTGATAACATGACAACATTGTTTACTATAACTACAATTATGAATGAATGGGGGTGATGTAGATCACTCCCATTCATTCATAATTGGGGATATAGTTAACATACCATATCCTCAATTATGTACACACTCAGTGATCGCTGAGTGTGTGTACCTTGCTTTTCTCTGACACCCTGTCACAGGAGGCTGATCGAGCGGTGTAGAGAGGAAAGCCCAGCCTCCTGTGACGGCGCTGTCTTCGCCCCCACACCGCTCTGCCGCACTGTGATGGGCGGCTGAGCGGTGTGGGAGGAGAGACGCTGGCCGCTTGCAGCGCTCGGCCGGCTGTCACTTTTTTCTTTTCTCCCCGCTGGAACACAGAGCAGCGCCCAGCAGGGAGGAAATAAACCAGGGATGTGCCGATGTATCGGCCGACACATGGCTTTCGGCATTTTGCCAAAAGTGCAATTTTCGGCCTATATGTTTCGGCGACCGATATATCGGTGCATCCCTTGTAGTTTTACACCAGTAATATAGGTATGCATCTCATTGTGATGGGTATTATACATATTTTAAAGGAGAAATTCATTTTAAAACAAAGTGCACTTATCCTTGTGGTCCCTTTGAAGCCAAACTCTGTGGTTTTCATGCACAGCTGCTCCAGATTTTGTCTGCTCCAGTTTTGATACATTTCCGTTGTATTTTCTCAAATAATACAGGGTGTTCTGTGATTGCAGGAGGGGTTGAGGGTGTGACATTATCTCTCCTCCAATCACAAAATGCCTTGTGAATTAGGCTGTCTCCTTACCAGGAAACAGAGGTAGATGAGCCCCATAGATGTCACTAGTGATGTACTGCAAATAGTGTGTGTGTGTGTCGGAGTATAGCATCAAGTCAATGAAACTCCTGGGATATTGATCAAGTCACTTAAGTAGCAGAGGGGGTTAATCAGTTTCAGCTGCTTTGGTGTTAATGAAATTAACAATAGGTGCATTAGATGGGCAACAATGAAACGACCTCCAAAACAGGAATGGTTTAACAGGTGGAGGCCACTGACAGTTGTTTTCCCTACTCATCTTTTCTGACTGTTTTTCACTAGTTTTGCATTTGGCTACAGTCATTGTCACTACTGGTCGCATGAGGCGAACCTGGACCCTATAGAGGTTGCACAGGTATGCCAACTCCTCCAGGATGGCACATCAATACGTGCTATTGCCAGGTTTGCTGTGTCTCCCAGCACAGTCTCAAGAGCATGGAGGAGATTCCGGGACACAGGCAGTTATTCTAGGAGAGCTGGATGGGGCTGTAGAAGGTCCTTAACTCATCAGTAAGACAGGTATCTGCTCCTTTGTGCAAGGAGGAACATGATGAGCACTGCCAGAGCCCTACAAAATGACCTCCAGCAGGCCACTGGTGTGAATGTCTCTGACCAAACAATCAGAAAAAGACTTAATGAGACTGGCCTAAGGGCCCGACGTCCTCTAGTGGGCCCTGTGCTCACTGCCCGGCACCGTGGAGGTCGATTGGAATTTGCCATTGAACACCAGAATTGGCAGGTCTGCCACTGGCGCCTTGTGCTTTTCAAAAATGAGAGCAGTTTCACCCTGGGCACATGTGACAGACGTGAAAGGGTCTGGAGAAGCTGTGGAGAACGTTATGCTGCCTGTAATATCGTTTAGCCTGACCGGTTTGGTGGTGGGTCAGTAATAGTCTGGGGAGGCATATCCATGGAGGGACTCGCAGACCTCTACAGGCTAGACAATGGCACCCTGACCGCCATTAGGTATCGGGATGAAATCCTTGGACCCGTTGTCAGACCCTATGCTGGTGCAGTGGGTCCTGGGTTCCTCCTGGTGCAGGGCAATGCCCGGCCTCATGAGGTGAGAGTATGCAGCCAGTTCCTTGAGGATGAAGGAATTGATACCATTGAATGGCCCCCACACTCGCCCGACCTGAATCCAATAGAACACATCTGGGACATTATGTCTCGGTCCATCTGACGCCGCCAGGTTGCACCTCAGTCTGTTCAGGAGCTCAGTGATGCCCTGGTCCAGATCTGGGAGGAGATACCCCAGGACACCATCCGTCGTCTCATTAGGAGTATGCCCTGATGTCAGGCATCCATACAAGCTCGTTGGGGCCATACAAACTAATGAGTACCATTTTGAGTTGCTGCAATGAAATTTCAGCACAATGGACTAGCCTGCTGCATCATTTGTTCACTTAGATTTTTGGGGTGTCTTTGAATTAAGCCCTCTGTAGCTTGATAATTTGTCATTTCCATCAAACGATGCGGCATCCTTTCGTTCCTAACACATTACCCAGTCCAGTACACAGTAGATCTTCAGCATGATTTTTTTCACCATAGAGATCTTTTTTCACCATTTGAGATCGTGTTTTCAAAGTGTTCCTTTTGATTTTTGTGTGTGTGTTTATATATAGATATATATTTTAGAGATGCACCAAAATGGAAATTTTAAAACCGATACCGAAAATTATTATTTAAAAAAAAAATCTTTAATATTTTTATTTTTTATAAACTTTTTAATTTTTTTATATTTCATTAATTGAGGATATAGTCAACATACCATGTCCTCAATTATCTACAAACACTCAGCGATCCTCTCTGACACGCGGAGCGGAGAGCTCAGCATCCTGTGACAGCGCTGGCTGTCTCCGCCCACACACCGCTCTGCCGGACTGATAAGCGGCCGAGCGGTATGGGAGGAGAGATGCCGGCCGCTCACAGCGCTCTCGTCCTGCAGCGCACGGCCGGCTGTCACTTTCTTTTCTCCCCGCTGGAACACAGAGCAGCGCCCAGCGGGGAGGAAAGAAACCAAGGATGCGCCGAAACATGGCTCTTTCGGCATTATGCCAAAAGTGCAATTTTCGGCCGATATGTTTTGGCGGCCGATATATCGGTGCATCCCTAATATATCTATCATTCAGCCATATTATACCCCTTTTCCATATAACGTGCTGAAATAGCAATATAATGTAACAAAAACCATGTTTGTGTTTATACAAGAAAAGAGTACAATATGATATTGATACAAAGTCTTTCCCAATAAGTGCCCAGTGCAATCTTTTTACTGCAGAAAAAAAATCACTTCATGATACTCCTAATCTTCCAACACCATCAAAAGCGATCCACCTCTGTGTTTCAAAGTGATGCATCCATAATTGAGATACTGCTCACCTTTTATAGGTGGACTGTATCTAAATACCGTAGATTAGGTTTAAACAGTCAGTAGTATGTTAATGAGGAGAAGCTTAAGGTGGTCATACACTGCGTTGTCAGCACCCTTTTAGCCGGGATCCCTCGGTCAGCTGATTGAAGGAGCCGGTTGGAAAATCTTCATACAATGAGCTGCTGGCTCTGTTCAGGTATTCTGACGGGCCGGTGTCCACTGTCAGAATACAAAAGAGACCGCGGGGATTCCTCGATCAATGCGCTCTTATCATTGATGGAGTTATCTATTCTATTTTTATTTTTTGTTCAGCCCATTTGTTAAAAGAATAGAGCAGTGTATGGCCAGCTTAAGTGTCCCTTTGTGTTCACTTTCAGTGTGCACAAAGGCCTTCACCAAACAGCTAAAAGCATGGATTCGCCATCCATGTTCCCTGAGCCATACGAGTGTTTGATGTTCTAGAAGGAGGAGATGAACAGACAATCCATAAGATCACTAATCTTACTTTTATGTAGTGAGCTGCCTTCTAACCACCCATCACTTTCATCAATTTCCTGGATTCCCATTGTGTTTTGAACTGTGTAAATCTCATAACTGGCTGGATAGAAATATCAATACAGCTCCCTTATATGTATTTAGTCCATGTATTTAGCTTTTTGCTGGAGTTCAGCTTTAAAGGAGAACTATAGCCAAACCTTTTTGGGCTTTAGTTCTCTTTTGGCTCACAGGAGTACATTTACTAATGTATTGCTGTGACCCAAAGTTGGCATATAGCGGGCATATAGCCTGCTATATGCTGACAACGCAGAACCACGCTGCAGCTAGAAAAGATCCCGACAATATTGGGATCTGCCTAACAGCTGGCTCTTCCTCTCCAGACCCAGAGCCAGCTGTACACCGCCTCCCACAGCCTCCTGTGGGGA